TGCTTCCATCAGCTACTGGATGAAGGCACTAGGATGGCATATAAGACAGTCATCAGTCTCATTATAGGGAAAGGGCATTTAAGGTAGCCTCTTAGCTATTGCTTAGATTGTTGGTTGGGATCAACCTTGTAGATCTCTGGACATTTCCCTAGTGCCTGATTTCTCTTTAAACCTATAATGGCTCCCTCTATTATGGTATCTCTTATCTTGCTCTCCTCTGTTCTCCCCCTGACTAGATCCTCCTGCTCCCTCATGTCCTGTTCTCCCCTTCTCTTTCTTCTAACTCCTTCTCCCTTCCCCCATGCTCCTCCTTAGCCTAGGAGATCTTGTCCCTTTCCCCTTCTCCAGGGGACCATGTATGTCTCCCTTAGGGTCCTCCTTGTTTCCTAGCTTCTCTAGCGGTGTGGATTTTAATCTGCTAATGCTTTGCTCTAGGTCTAAAATCCATATATGAGTGAGTACATACCATGTTTGTCTTTTTGTGACTGGGTTACCTCACTCAGAATGGTTTCTTCTAGTTCCATCCATTTGCCTTCGAATTTCAAAATTCCATTGCTTTTTTCTGCTGAGTAGTACTCCATTGTATAGATGAACCACATTTTCTCCATCCATTCCTCAGTTGAGGGGCATCTAGGTTGCTTCCAGGTTCTGGCTATTACAAATAATAACCATGAACCCCACTGCTATGAACATGGTTGAACAGATGTCCTTGTTGTATGAATGTGCTTCTTTTGGGTATATGTCTAAGAGTGGAATTGCTGAATCTTGTGGTAGACTGATTCCCATTTTCCTGAGGAGTCACCATACTGATTTTCAAAGTAGCTGTACAAGTTGGCAGTCCCACCAGCAGTGGAGGAGTGTTCCCCGTTCTCCACATCCTCTCCAGCATAAACTGTCATTGGCGTTTTTTATTTTAGCCATTCTGACAGGAGTAAGATGGTATCTCAGAGTTGTTTTGATTTGCATTTCCCTGATGGCTAAGGATGTTGAGCACTTTCTTATGTGTCTTTCAGCCATTTCATATTCCTCTATTGAGAATTCTCTATTTTCTATACCCCACTTTTTAATTAGATTAGTTGATGTTTTGGAGAGTAGCTTCTTGAGTTCTTTGTATATTTGGGAAATCAGCCCTCTGTCAGATGTGGGGTTGGTGAATGTCTTTTCCCATT